GTTTGTGTGTATGTGTGTGTCCTTGTGCACACAGTTCCTCTGTGATCCATGTCCCCGGCGTTAACGACATCCAGCCATCAGGCTCATCCAATCAGAATCTAGCTCAGATCACCAGACAGCTCAACCCAGGCCAGGTGGCATGGTCAGGCAACCGACCCCCCTTCTCTGGACAGGTACCACACACACACACACAAGCAGACAGTGTTTATTATTAAGTGAAACCATTGCCTTTTGTATCAACAATAAAGTTGGCAAACTCCATGGTTGCCATGATTTCCAAACTCATTTTCTCTGCCCCTCTGTAGCCCAGACTTCCATCTCTGGTGCCCGTTAACAGTATCTTGCTAAGAGAATGTGCTGAGCATTTGCTTCTTCACAGGCTCATCTGTCTTCCACACACACTGCTGCACTTGTCAGGTCATTCCACCAGACTGAATTCTTTGTTGTTCAATAACCTCTAAATGCATCACAGTAACTTGAGCCAGATGATATGAGTTGAAAAGAGGGTTGGATGTTTTCACCACTTCTATAAACACAGAAGACATTAAGAGCTAACATCATACAGGTTTCAATGATAACAAGCAGTGCAGTTGCCCAATATTGGAAAAGCCCATTTGCCCAAACTATTCTTAAAAACAATGAGATGTTTTGGAAGAAGTCTGTGCCATTAAGTTATCGTGTTGTTTTTGACCCTTAACAAGCCCCAAAATGTGTTTTGGTCTGATGTCTTTGCAACAGCTGGATGCTTGGATTACAAGAGTAAAGTAAATCTGTCTGTAGGTGGTGAATTGCAGCAACCCTGTCTGTATATTATGTATTGAAATCCTCAAAATCCAGTAAAAGCCTGGCAAATGATAGCTGCTGTTGCTGTAAAATCTCTTAACAGAACTGCAATCCAAACAATAATCCAAACTAAACACATGCATTTTCTTCAAGCACACAGAGATACACTGAAGATAATTTGCATCTGTTTTAGTTTTTGTAAATGATAAAAGTAGTTCCCCTACAAAATGGTTCCAAAAGTGTTTTTTTCTTCAGGCTGTATTACCATTTCAGTTGTTTCTTTCCACAGTGTCCTCAGTGCTGCTTAATACAGAAACACAGGACTCTCCCAGATGAAGCAATGATCATATAGGTTTATGTTAGGACCACCTGTTTCTGAGAAATCATGTTGTATCTGTCATTTTGGCATGGTGGGCGGCTCCGCAATAATAATGAAACAGAGCAGAAGCAAATTAAAAATTCTGTGTTGCAGTTGTTAAGAAAATGTGGCGCATAACTCCAAAATAAAATGGAATTGATTCAACCTGCAGATTATAAAATCAGTTCTCTTAACAGCATATTCCTTATTTTCCACCTGCCGTTAGTTATGCACCTGACAGAATTCCAAGTTCAGTGATTGGATTGGATTAGTTTCTTGCTGAAATGCACCTTGGGAGTCGTGGTTAACTTCTCTCCCAAGTGGACTGTAGTTTTAAGTACATTTTGTGAAAGTATAGTGGGTGTTTGAGTGTGCCAACGTAAGGGCTGTGTAAAACAACAAATATTCAAAACCATACACTGTAATTGTACTGTAAACTTGAGCTTGAGCCTCCTTAAGCTTTCCAAATGAATTTCAGTTTTACATAAATAATTTCAAACGCTTGCTAAATTAGCCTCCTGAATGAGTTATCCTAGCTAACTGCGAAGGAATCGATATACCTGAAGGTGGAAGCTTCTTTTACATTGCTTGCTAACAACATTTACTGCAGCTGACTACCTGTTAGAAATTACACGAACACAGGAGCAGTAGTAGTGGATCAGGCTCATTTGGCAGAGCACATTTGTCAAACAGGAAAGAGTCTCATTTTGTAATATGGCCAGCTAATGGAAATTTCCAGGAGCTGGCCACATGTTGATGTGTCATACTGTCAGATCATTTTTCATGCGTATAAGAATGAATACTAACTCATTTAACTTAATTACAAAGAATGTTCAACCTTGAAAATACAATTTTTGCTCATTTCATGTCTAAGGAAGGCATATTTAAGTAGTTTCTTTTCAGGAAACTTGATTAAAAATGACATGAGAGTACTGACCTGTCAACCCTGTGTTGTTTTATAGTGAGATGAATGTACAGTTACAACCCTGATATGCTGTATCTGTGCTCACCAGTCCAGTAAAGCCCAGTCCAGTCCATTTGGTATTGGTTCTGGCCACAGCTACCAGACGGACCCGGCCTCCTACAGTCCCCTGTCGTCCCCAGCCACTTCCTCCCCCAGCGGCAATGCCTACTCAGGACTGACGAACCGCAGCACAGCTTTTGGTGAGCACACATTTCTTACCGGCTGATACATACACATGAGGTACAGGATAGTTATTTGTTGTGGAAGTGTCTGTGTGTCTGTCTTTCTGCCTGTAAACATAATTACTGAGGAACCATGTGTAATAGAAATCTACTTACAACTCACAATATTGCAAATACAAAATGACATCTAAAGTAATCAAATAAATTCCATTGCTATACATTACATTAGACGAACCTTTGGATGTGTAAAACAAGTTTTGTTAGCTTAAAATGCCAACTGTCTTGAGTCATTCATTTAGAAAAGAGAATTTAGAATGATAATCATATGATTGTATCAGCATAATAAGATTCTGTGGCAGTTTGACAGCATCACTAGCCATGTTTCCAATGTATTTATTTTTATGCACATTTTGAAATATTGCATTAGAGAAGGTTGATGGAAACGACAACATTAAAAAAACTTCCTCAATTCTGCAAAAACATGTATAAACTCGTTTGAAGTAGCATTTTTATGACTATGGAAATACGTTCTTCAGAATCCTGTCTGATGTAACACACATTTAACTCTCATGACTGATGGGCTGTTTGCGCTCCGACACTCTCCTCATCGCTCCCATGGCTCTATAATACATCCATGATCGCTGCACACAGATCTTATAGAACCTTCCTCACATTAATACATGAAACAGAAATATAATATTTCCATCCTGTTTTCCACCATTTGAGGTTGAACTGGTATTCTTTTAATTACTATTATCTTGTTGCGCCCTGTTCTACTGGTTTTGGCGACACCCACTGCTTATTTCGATGAACCAACTCCTACTCATTTGCTAAATTGGGCTTAGATGGAAACACAGCTCCTGTTTTGGAAATGATATACAAAGGAGAATGAGCATTACAGCAGTCTTACTCTCCATGCTGTCACAATCTACAGTGGACAGTGAGTTGAAATTAAAAGTTGTTGGAACCACAGCATGTAGCTGAGGCAGCGAAGAAAGGGTCGAGAGGGAAATACTTTGAAGACAGTGAATATTGTTGCAGAAGCCTTTGCATTGTTGAAACCACAAAAGGAAGAAAACTTGATGCAGAGGTTGCAGTGCTTCTTCCCGATCAACTCAGTCAGTCTCTCAGATATATGACCCTTATTTTCAGATTGCCCACGTAAACCAGTTTGAGACTTGAATATAAAGTTAGTTTTCCATGTGGTCACATCATAGCAACAACCTGAGAAATTGTCCTAAATGCAACTCTGGATGTTCTGGAATCTGTGTTATCGTTTGACCATTGATGTGGAAAGCAGAGTAGACTACAAATGTGAGCTTCCATGAGCTTGACTATTTTAAAACAGTCAGTCAGTCAGTCAGTCAGTGTATGTCACAAGTTGTAATCTCTGAACGGTCCAAAATGTTTCCACTTCTGCTTTCCATGTGAAGGCACCATTAATGCTCCTTCAGTCAGTCAGATATGTAGCAGCGCTCAGGCGCTGCCTTGTAAAATTAGCATTGGCAGGCACTTTATTTTTTATGTCAAAACCCCCTGCACCAAACCACCTCAGTGTGCTGCTGAGCTCAGAAAGATCCTTTATCATTAGCTGTTTAAGCATGCCAGTAATATCAATCATACTATTCTGTATAGAAGGTCTCCATACAGTGCGGATCTGAATATAATGAAAACCCATCAAACCTCAGCTGAGACCCGTTTACAGTTGCCATGTATTCACTTCAATTAAGAAAGCTATTTCCTTGCTTTCAAGCCTTACTGGCTTATTTTTGTCCTGGTACAGAGGTAATTACATGGATGGGGAGGCAAAGCAGACAGAGCCAAAGTCCGTCATTCACAGTTCCATCCACCATTAATGTACATCATTCTGGATGGCCTTTTTTCTCACCTCACACTGCGTTAACAGCCTTTTATAAGTGTCATGAATAACACAGCAAGGTTCATGCATCTGATAAGTGCTTCTTAAAAAGTCTTTTTCCACTGATAGACTGGCACAAAAAGTTGCCCGTGTTACTTGCATGCTAGAGTGGTCTCACAAAATAGCACAATGCTGAGCATCATTAAATTCCTATTGAATCCCTGCCTGCTTGGAAACCCAGAAGCACTATCTGACTTGCTCTTATCATGTGAATGGGGGTTCATGTGCTGGCACATTAACAAACTGTCTAAGGGTTTTATCATTTCAGTCTTAAATCTGTACATAAAAGATAAATAGTAAGGGTGGGCAGCCAATATTATTTAATATATATTATAATATGTATATTTGTTACTTTTAGTAAAAATCCTGTTATGGGCTGATCAGACAGAGACGGATCACTACAGGTGCTGTCACTTCACGCGTCAGACAAAACAGCTAATGTGCTTGTGGAGTGGGGCTTTTATCGAAAAGAAATTCAGGCTGAAGTTGAGCTCTTTCCGTTGCCCTCACTCTCAGTAACCTACATGAAACGATCTGGACATGAGCTATGAATTCTCCCTTTCCCTCTCACGTAGTCCGTTGCTCTCACATGTACTGGTGTAAAATCAGGAAGGAAGTGGTAAAGTAGTAAAGCCCACCTCTTGCTGGACTTGTCACATTGATGATCAGCGAAACTCCATGCCTTGTGCAGAAAAGTTGGGGCTGTTTTAACTTTTATGCTCATCTAAAAACCGCTGGAGAAAGGCGGGCAGTCTAACAGTTGGTGCACATAGGATGCATGAGCAGTGCATGACAGCTGCCTCACTCAACTGCTGCAGTGTGGACCAGGCTCAAGAGAAGAGAGCTCACCAGACGCACTGTTGCTGGTGATCGCGCGCCTAGAATGTTGGGTTATTTACATGCCAATCATTTTATTTATGGGAATTATGAAGTGCTGGGTGTGCCAAGCAAAGAAATATATAATTGTTGAGCTTTTTAAGTCTTAAATCAATTAATAAATTGATCCCTCGCAGCTTGGGATTGGAGACGACAAAATTGTAAAAGCCTGTGTTATAAACAGAGGCTGTGGAGGTTGAAAGACGTAACTGTTTAACAGGCAAGGTGGGTTGAACAAAGAATTTAGTGATTTTGGAGTTTACTTCGTATAAACTTGTAATACAAACATTTACAGATACGTTGTTAAAGACTAGTCTTTCCCAGTGAGTTTAAGTGTTTGTCACTGAATGGTGCAGGTCGACCTCAGAAACTCAATAACTGCTTTATCCCCAGAGGACACATTGATTTACACAACCTTGCACACACACTCCAGCACTTCATCCTCACTGCACATTCATCTTGAAGGCATTAGCTTTTAATCCCCTAGAAGTTGAACTCTGACTGATGTTCCACACTACTAAAAACATGTTCTAAAAGAAATCATTACAGTTTGATTTGACAGTGTGCTTTTTGTAGGTGAATTTGTACCATTCATAGTGCAGTTAAATAATGAAATACCTAACAGCAAACCAATAACATCAGTAGGTCTTTCTTCAGTTTGTCCCTCTCGTGGATCTGCAGCCATGGCAGCTCTGCAAGCTGCATTACGCGCACATACAGACCAGCTATTCATGTCACAGTTCACAGGACAGTCGTAACTCAAGACAGCTCACGTTGCCAGCTATCATCTATGTTATTTTTTGAGTATTTGTTGCATGCATGTTCTAATAACTGATTTCTCATGATGCAGACATTGTACACATCCTGTAAGTGAATCCAATTCATTTGATGTACAGTCAAGCCCTAATTCACACTGAGACAATTTTTATGGCCATATCCACTCAACAGTTGTGGAGACTAGAGCTAAAACAATTGGTTGATAAATTGATGAGCAGAAAATGTACCAGTCGAAATTGTTTTCACTGTTTCCAGCTTTTTCCACCCGCATCCTGGAAAACCTGGAAATTTCAAAACTAGCTTTTCAGTCATGGAAACAACTGGGAATTGATTAAAATGATCAACATATTGTAGAAATAATTAATGTTGTCTTGGAAAATTCTATATAGCATTTTAACCCCTCATTCAGATTGCCTATGTAAACCTTGGTTAGAGGCAAAATGTAGTAAACTGCAGTCAAATCTCCCATAAACTCTGAATGAACCCTGCATCATCAAAAAAAGAGGAGTAAAACTGGCAAAAATGTGTCAATACCTGGCCTTCTCAGAAGTGATATGACTGTGTTCGTGAGCAATGTCTTGGAAAGTCCTAGAAAATGATTTCTTAACAAGAGTGGCAACACTGTTTGGGTTTTGGGATGTTGGTCAGAAAAACTGAACAGCATTTTTTGCTTTTTTATACCACATGAATCAATTAACTGAAAAAAAAATTGGTTTGGTAGATGTATTGTTGAAAGTAAGAGTTGCAACCCTAGATGAGAAAGTTTCACTCTGAACCAAAGTGGTGGACCGCCCAACTGTCCAAAATCTCGGCGTGGCTGACAATGGAATCACAGAAGGCAAAAGGCTGAGAATCCTTTAGTGTGTGTTCAGCCGGTGATGGCTCATCAGCCAGCTGCTCAGGACTCCTGCTGTTTGTTGTCCACATGGCTGCAGGAATGAAGCACGTCCAGCATGCAATGGCTACTTGATGGCCTTTTAATGAACACACACATTAGCCAAATGGATTATCTCTCTCTCTCTCCCCTGCCTCGTTTATTTATTCTTTATTTCTTCTCTTTTGTTCTCTCGGGCTGATTACCTAACTTTGATTGTTACACTGCATCCATTTTTACTCACTTGGCCGCTCCCTCCCTCTTTCTTCCTCTGCCTGTCGGACCGTTTGAAGGATGAAGTTAGTCACAGCCAGTGCCATTCAGTGGCTTTGCTGAATGTGTTTTTCAGTATTCACTAATGATAATCTCTTGTTTTTTCCTTATCTTGTCCGCTTTCCACTCCATGTATACACAACCAGCCCTCTATGTGTTTGGTTAATTACTTTTGCGTCTTCATTTTTTACATGGGCTCTCTTTCCTCCCTCCATCAGCGGCTCAGCCTCATGTTTGTGTGTGCGTGGAGACAAGATGAGCATTCTGTTTATTATTGTGAAACGGCAAGAATGTTCCTCTGCATCGGGAGGCAGACAGCTTATCAGTCTTCTTTGCTGTAATGTACTCAGTAGACTCTCAAAACAGCCTCGCAGGGAGTGTGTGTGTGTATGTGTGCTCCTATCTGTAGATTTATATTTTGTGTAGCAGTGTGTAGCTGCGGCTCAGCCTTGTCAGTCAGGGATGTAGCTGTTGGTGTATGAGTGAGAAAGTTACACGAAGAAAGACATAAAGCCCACACTGCCGTTGTTATCAGATTGGCTTTTTATGGAAATTTAAGCGACCATAAATTCTCAAATAGTGGTTAGGTATTTATTTTCTTAAACTGCCATCACCAGCCTTTATTTGACACAGACTTATATTAGAGACAGGCCTTTATTGCTCATTATTCCTGATTATATTGGAATAATTAATAATATTTTAATAAGAAACCTCACTGTTTTCTGATCTGCTCCTGTTTTAACTTGATAATGATGCAAATCTAACTTTTTTGGGCCCTAATTGGCATCTGCATTCTTTAACAGTCTAATCTGATTTTATTGCAACAGAAGGTATTCAGTGTTGATTAAATATGTATCTGGCACATGGAAATAACAGGTGTAGCTACTAGATTCCCAAGCTACTTTTAAGCAAATCCTGAAGGTTTATGTGGTTCAAAACTGTTATCGATACGTTTAAATTATTAATACTTTATGAATGAATTTTAAGAATGCAACTCCTAAAATTAGAATGACACAATCAGCTAAAGACAAGACGTACAGTATGACTCTGAGGGAGTGGTTGGAGCTAGAACTCTGTAAATAGTTCTCTTACTTCTGTGATCAAAAACTCTGAAGCTCAATTTTAGATGATACTGGATGATCAGCCACCAGTGCCATCTTTCTTTTTGAAAATTGAGCTTCTACATTAAAGCTTTTTGTCATATATCCTTCATGCTCTATGTATATATATATATTACGCTACTGCCAATGAAACTCAACACTGGATGCATATGGTTCACCATGGCATAACAAGACTTAGCAAGTGAATGAAAACAGTAAAAATCTAAAGACTGACTGTTATTGTACTGATGGAGTAAACAGCAAATTGAAACATGGGGCCAATTAGAAAATAGAGACATCTCACAAAATATGAAAAAAAGGGGTCATTAGAAATAAAGCCCGGTCTCTACTTACATACAATGATAACCTGACTGAATACGAACACCTGCAGATCACATAATCTGGTGGGTCATAGAATATGTCATAAGTCATAATTATGAGATACAGAGCTCATAATTATGAGATAAAGTCTCCATTTTTTCTTTAGTGAGTGCTATGTGTTTCCATAGAAACAGTGTTAAGCCACTAAAACCCAGTTTAAGACACTCACTACTGCTAATTCTACTGCTACTGCTATTAGTGTCATGCTCTGATTAATAATATTAACCCTCGGTTTTTAATAGTGCTTATATGAAATGTTTGATGTTTTGAACAAAGTTAAACCATCTGCACTCCCATCCACCTAAGGTGTACTGGGTGCACAGGCAACCATGTTGAATATTTGACAGAGCCTTCAGGGTGTCAGGGCCTTCGACAGCCGGCACAGCATGAAAGAGAAGTGTCATCCTTCACAGAAAGGGATGTATCTAATAGTTGTGTCATAACTATAACAACTGCACCAGCTGCCAACGTGAGAGAAAAACGAACCCCCTCCTACTCCTGTGGTGGGCTGAGGTTCAGCATCATCTGTTTATATTAGAGAATGTGAGCAGCGACAGTTTGATAGAGCTCCATCAAAAGCTCAAAAACTATCATGCTACCAGATACACTACTGGGAAATATGAGAGAATTAGTGTTAGAGGATCTGTCATCCACTCATTTTATGTGTAGATGATGGTTTGTTGCTGTTTTGTACGTTCAAACAGGTATTATTATAAAACATAGCAGTAGACCAAACCAACGTATGCTTTAAATTACCTACCGTACCTTAGCACTGAAACCCAGGATCTTACTTCACTAGTAACTACTCTTTACTGTTACTGCAACTGCTGCTGCCACTACAAATATTTAGCAACATTACTTTTATTATTGAGTCAATGGTCCTTTATTTTTTTAATTACTCAATGAATGATTTTGTCTATAAAATTACAGAAAACAGTGATAAATGCCACTCAGTTTCTCAAATTGACGTCTTTAATAATTTGCCTTCCAAAAGAGACTCATGAGAATGAGAATATAAATAAAATATAATATCTCCAGACAATGAACGTTTGTTTTTGCTTCATAATTGACTGAAACAATTCATTTTCAAAGTTTCAAGTTGTGTTAGTTAACTCATTGCTTAAAGTTGTGTACTTAAACAATTATTATCATATTATTCAGGTAACGCTGTGTTTTACCGGCCTCCTGTCAGTGGC